TTCTATTGTTTTGACTTTGATGATTTCATTTCTATTTGTTTTCAAAGGTTGTTTGTATTTTGACGTTTAGCTTAACTAATAAAACTAACCTGGTGTTGTTTTTAAACACAATTCGCCGAAAAACTCGTCCAGTTATTGTAATATAAATCTGTTTGCGGTCTTAGATTTTTTATTTTTCTGTAAGCTTTGAAACTAGTAACTTTGATTTGTCTTATAACCATCGCGAGTTCCCTTTTCATTGTGACGGCCGTCAAACGAAAGTCAAAGTACTTGCCGACAGTTGACAATAATACCGCTGCGGCATAACGGTGACCATGTGCTTATACCAAACATGGATATATGCCAACGGCTAGGGCACAGAAATAATATTATTGTAGACTGTACTTGTTATAAACCTAGTCTTTCACACAAACGTGAATAAAATTTGAGACTGGAAAGAGACAACAATAATAATAGTGCAGCTTTATTTGCTTTCTACTAAAGAATAAAATGTTGAATCCAATTGCCCGGGACAGTACCCTGTGATTTACCGGAAGTAACACTTTTACCAGAATATATATATATATTTCTCACAATATGTCCATCCCAACATGCATTTATCATTTAACGCTTCAGAACTGTAATTAAATACTTAACGATTGAACGTTTAACTCGATTTTTGCACAATTAGTCGATTGTTAAATTTCATATAACTTTATGAATCATATTATCATGATTCTCATGATATTAATTAATATTTTATCTTACATCTTATGCACTTTCGCTCTGTTCAACGGTTATATTACTATAACAAATTACGATTGTAATATAACAATAACCGCTGTTACTTAATTGCAGTTGAAGAAATCATACTTTTCATTAAATATCAGCGTGACGTTTAATTTTTATTTGGCTCTTGTTTGGTTAATTATTTATTAATTCTACTGAAAACATTCACTAGTAATTTTTCGTTTGATAAACGTGTGATTTTTTTTTCTTACTTGTTTGTGCTTTCGTTATATGTATCGGTACTTAATTAAGTTACTTTTACTTTTACAGCGATAGCTATTTTTAATTATTTATTTAGTTAAAAGTAATATTATAGAGCACCCGTAAAGTACCTATAAGTATTCATAAATTTTTGCAATCATGACTGCAATGGTTATAATTCATAACGTTCCTATAAATAATATAGAAACTAAAGTAGCCGATGATTTACATACACCTCGTCTTGAGAGTAATTCTCACCATCGTCGCATCGGGAAACGACCTATATGTGTGTTACTTTAACGTGTAACGCCTTTTTAAATACATATACAGGTATTTTTTTTATCCTCGTGTATACCGTTGATGTAGACGCGTTGTGGTTATTGGTTGTACGCTGTACGGCTTACAGAATGCACACTGGAAAACTACAATTTCAACACACCTGCGTGTACGTCGTTTGTTTTGGTTAACTTAGAACATAGACTTCAGCTGTTGGATGAATCCTCTCGTTGATTGCCTGTAGTTAACCGATGAAACGAAATAGTACAGACATCTGTTGGTTCAGACTTTCAATAGTAACCTTGTTTAACTATAATTCATGACACTAAAGAAGCTATGAATGTCTGTTAGAATTCTATAATTTCCTCCTAGTTCTTACAGGAATTAATAGCTGTGTGTGACTGTTGCCACTGTAATTGCGAAATATACATCCCACGGAAAGCAATAAAACTTCGGTATAAATCCCTCTGGCCGAACGGCAGTTGTGAAAATTACAAAACAAAAGTACTTGTTTTGTAGTAAATAAAGTACAACGACCTCACGTAGGGGAAGATCAAAACAAAAGACTTTTTGGTGTTTCGTAATATTAAGGTAATATATCCACTTCCTCGGGTCGTTTTCAAAACGTCTTAAGCATCGTGTATATGTGTGACATCAAAAGTAGAAAAATATACGATACCGTTCAAAATACACACTTCGAATTACAATAGTATTACCTATGGTAGTCACAAAACGGTGTAGGCACTCCAGACGGTTTTTAAGGGTTAACGCTATAGGGAAAGCATTTTGAACACATGTAATACAACGCTTGTGCGTATAATGGTAATTTTTTTATATTATTATTTTACACGAATAGCTTTAGATTGCGAATGTCGTGAGGGGCGTGAAACGGTAAAAACACTATTGAGTATTGCATCGGGTATGTGTATCTGGAAGTAGAGGAATGTGACTATTGTGCAATATGTTGGAGAGCGATCCGCTTTGAGACAACGGGCGCCGGTCAACCGTTTTATGTATTCTCGGCGCGGTACCAAAAGCGTTCGAGCTAATTATGAAGATTTGTGATAGAAAATCACTTTCGCGTGTCGTTCACTGGCAGCAACGAACTTAACGTGGCATCACGACGAATCTTCCTTGAGTAGAGGTGTCCTTGTCGCAACGTGTATTTAATTTGATTTTTCACTCTCGACACTTTTTGCAGGTTTACTGTCGTCTCGCCTTCGGATGTTTATTATACACTGTAGGCTCTACACGATGTACAAACATTGACTGTGTTTGTACCGTAAAGACCCTTTTACACTCATTACACATTTCCATTAACTTCCTCTGTAAATGGCTGTGCCGCCTTGGCCTAGTTTCATTCGTGTGAATACACATGTATAATTCTGTCTTAAATCGGATCTCTTAAATGTGGATTATATCCATCTGATCAACACACGACAAGTATATTAAAATGTGTGTTGCAAATTTTGTTGTTTAAATTCAATAGGAATATAAAACATATGTTTTCAACTTCTATTTCGGAGTAGAATTTTGCGTATCATCTTCTGATACTAATATTTTTTCTCGGGTATTTAAATATCACCAGTTGAATTAGTCGAAAAGGCGTTTGAAAAAAATTGTCTCGATATCAAATGTGACAACAATGGGAAGCCGAAACCTGATGGCTGTATTATGTATTTATGGAGGGTGTGTCAAATAGAAAAAAACCCTATGTGAAATAGTAACGACATGACTGATGACAATCTGTAAAATAAAATAGTATTATTGTACAGATTACACGTCCATCAACTCATTCCTATCTAATCATATTCCGCCTGAATATATTTTGTCAAACCGAACCATTTCCAGAATAATTATCAATTGTATTCCAAGTGAACAAATTCAATTAGTTTTCATGACGTGTAACGTAAATTTAATTTATTACCTTGGTACATGCTTATCTCTTTATTTATCTTGACGATTCTAGTTGAACTTATGATTTTTCGTTGGTATTGTGGGACGCACGGCGATATCCTTGGATTAAGCAAAACTTATCAGTTATCAAACAGTGAGCCATGATTAAATAATAAATAAAACATTGACGAGCCCACTCGATACCTTACTTGCTTGTGTAGTAACTGTCGAGCTAATGTATGAAACATTTGTAAAACAGAATTTATCGTATGCCTATTTGTTTTATCATTTTATGTAAACATTTGAATACGTTAACGATAATAAAATAAAAATACGGATAAATCCTCATAGATGACTTACCACAAATATCTTACAGATAGTCGTTTTCGAATTTCCGTTAACTTTTTAAATATTAAACAGTGGAGTAGACATGGCTCAGATAACGGACATTCCCATCGTGATATTGTATTTGATTTACTCGAGCTTATATAGTAATAAATATAGTAACCCATATGGTTTACGAATAAAAATATGTTTAATAACCGCAATCATAGTATGTAATCATCTATGGTTTATTAGCCTCGTAGGAAGATTACATAAAAACGTATAAATTCTGTAATTTTTTCAACGGTTCCTCCGTCGTCGCCCTATCTTGAGAACAGATCTACGCGGCTCTTATAATTGCAAAGATTTCTTGTCCGTGTTAATGCACTTGCTGTGTATCAGCTACAAACAATTTCAATTACTGATTTCCTCGACGCTAATTATTCACGACTCTGTATGAATGCGCGCAAACAAAATTACACTAGTGGACGTATAGAATGTTTGTTAATGATTTTATTGGTATTCCGAACGCACACAATGAATGCTATGAATGATGTGTGTTTTTCGTGATTTAAGCGCCATCGACACACGTTCTCGAGGCAGACCTTTATCTGTCGAAGACGGTTGCCAAACCAGGATGCTAAAAATATACTCTTTATAGACATTAGCTTCGTCCCTTATACGGAGATTATTAGAGGTAGATCGATTTACCCGAATTAAATGTTCTACAATTAAGCAAACCTATCGTTGCACAACTCGGTGCACATTCCTATCTACTAAACGGGTGTTTGCACGTACTATGAATACGACCGTTTTGAGTGATGAACGTTGGACAATATTTTATATAACGAAATTACTTGAAACACGAAAATAGATTACCGTCGCATTTTAAAACTACTATGTATTTACTGTAAATTGACCGTAATAGGCACCGCAAAGATTACTCGACTGTGTCATGTAATAAAATTCTTCATTAAAACGGGTAGCAATATATCACGTTTGAATAGATTGTTTCCATCTTAAATTAAGTAAATATATTTTAATATTGAGTAATTGTTATGAAATTGTTGCTTCGTAAACTGCTATTGACAAATCTGCCGAGGAATATGTTTTCGAAAACATTTATATTACTTTTTGAATAATTGAAAAAATTGATGACCGGCGGTTTTAAAAAATTACTATTTCAATATTCTCTTTCTAATCTACACGCAGTACGCATACCTACTGCATCATTGCATCCGTATGGAAGTGTGTTTCTGTAAAAACGTGTAATAATTATTTTAGCTCCGTAATGTAAAACACACTTATATGTGATATTTCTGTAACTAAATTGAGGATTTTGGCGTTTTTGTTGCACTGTTTTTACCTAAAACCCGTGTAAGGTTATAGATATAATTATAAAGGACAACGCGTAGTTTTATACGATCCTGTGTCGACAGACTCATTACAGCTAATTGATTGTTTATAAAATGAAATAAAGTGTAATTTAGTTTGTGATGAAATTACTCGACCGATGTTTTTGTATTTTGTTTCAGACGTGACCGCTATGAATCGTAATGGCTCAACGGCCGTCAGAGTACCAAAGTCAATTGGCGACATCCCAGAAGACATTCTCACGTCGGGAATACAATTTCCAGGTGAGTCGAGAAAAACGTGTTGTGTACTGTTACTACACCGGTGGTCGACGATGCAATGAAATCAACCTCATCTGTTTTGTTTTCGTAACGTTGTATAATTATAATTATTATTTTGCCGCGTACACATCTCGTGGTGTTCACCGTCTCCTCGATGTTGTCTGCAAAAAACATTCGATTGCGTTCTTCTTAATTGAATTCCATTGACTGCATCAAAAGGGGATCTGGTGGTTGCAATTGGCTTAATTCAATGAAGACCCGCATTCGGGCGCAGTTCAAATTTATTATACGCCTGTCGACATCGACAACACACTCCAGAATGAAATGCCAGACTGGATTAAATGAACACCGGAAACAACAAATAAAATACTCGTTCTTCCGTTATAAACAATTCATAAATATACATGTCTTTTTCTCGTGTGTCGGTCCATAAACTCTCGCGACGCCATTTTGGTCTATAATAGTGGGAGATGAACGTAAAAACTAAAAAAATTGCTCTTATTAAAAGCAATCTTATCTTACTTGCTCTAATTTTTTTTTAATAAATCTAACCAATTTTTGCGTTGTATCTTTAAATTTATTCGAATAATATGTACGTTTATCTGATGATTTTATCTTTTTATTGAAAATTTTATATAAATTTAAAAATCGAATTGATTTTTATTACATTGAAAATAAATACTGAACAAATTTGAAGTCTTCTTATGAATTGATTAATGAAAATTTATGTACGTAATTAATACGTATTAATCCAGTAAATTAAGTACAACTAGTTTATTTTTAAGTTAATTATTATTGTTTATTTATAATCTTTGAAACCAGTTTTAACTGCATATATTCAATAGCAGAGGTAATAGTTTTTTTGTAGTCCCTTTAACCTTTCACACATAACACTTCGCATGGGAATCAAATTAATTAATATTTTATATGTTAAGTATTTTTATTTTTGTTGTTTAACGTATCTAATTAAACTTATATATGAGTATTTTTAATGGCTAATGGATTTTAATAATATTTCAGGTGTTACAGATAAACAGGGAAACGCGGTCATACTATGGACTGAAGGACAATTAGGATTGCGTTCAGAGACTTTAATGTCGGACGTTAGTGCGGCAGAGCTCATTTTGTATTACGCTTCTTTAAGAAACAGGCAAGTATTGTGTAGCAAACTTTCTTTAGTCGTAATAATGCGCAGTGTTTACTCTTTCGCATTTTTTCCGATCCTATGAACTGTATTGTGTATAACTACAAAATAAAAGCTATATTCAAACTTTTCATTTTATTTTTTATCACATAAAAAGTGCTTTTGAGATATTAGATACCTTAATCTACTTAATACATGGATTTTGAAAGTAAATATATTTGAGATGCCTCAACTTGGGCACTATTATTAACCTTCATTAATGGTCGTACATTTAATAGACTTTGTCCTTGATTTCCTAGCAACTGTGATTTAAAAATTTCACGCCATTGGTCAACACCAACAACATATATCAACAACCGCAATAATAACGGCTTACTGAATACTAAGACAATAGAACGATGACCGTGTCGAAATCATATTCCAATCAAAATCCAATCAACATAATATAGTCTGACTGAACTCTAGTTAAATTAAATCGTGTGTGTCCATGACCTACCCTGTGGACTTTTTGTAACCACGACTGGACATTTTTCTGCCGACGACTTATTACTTTATTTTATTTGAGATTTCTACTCTACTATTGTCTATAGAAAACTTATCGTTTTATTTTTAACTAAGTACAGTTATTGTCTACAAACAGTTAATTTCTCACATTTATTGTTACTATAAATCTTTAGTTTCATTCTCAAATGGATATGTTACAAATTAACATACTTTTATTATTTAATTGGTTCCCACAAGTAATTTATATTTATGGTTACAAAATAAATATTTTTTATCGCGTGCTCTAGATTAGGTTTTATATTTCATTTTAAAAAAATAATATTTATAAAAACTGAATTATTAGTTTACTCGTATTTCAAATAACTATAATTTAGTCGGTCTGTGTGTAGCGTTAATATAAAAGGCAAGCTGTTAAAAAAAACATTTAATATGGTTAATGTAACCTCTCCTGCTCTCTTAATTTTTTTTTTTACGCAAAATCTTAACACGTTTATTTTAAAGCGATTACAGCATTTTTATTAAAAAATATATATAGAAATACTAAGTAATACATTATTATTAGTAATACTAATACAAATAGCATTCCGATTTTCGCACAGAAATAATAATTGATTACAGTTAAATTTATTGTTCACATCTCAGTCTATAGTAAAGGTATTTACATTAATGAATCACCGGAATACAATTTCATTTAAATTCACTGTAAATATGAACAATCTTTGTACGCAAGACTAATGTTTGTGTATACTGATAAAATGTGAACTTATGACACGTGTGATTTAATCATTCATTTATTAGTTATATTATTCATCTATTGACTGATATAACATTTTTATTCATGAGAAAATCGTAATAATAAAAGCTTATCGTTTATAGCAACGAAAGAAACTCATCGCTGACCATTTTGGTGCATGAAAACAGCTACGCTACAATAGAATTCATTGATCGTGTATTGGTTTTGATAAAGGTAAAACAGTGTGACAAGTTCTAACAAACTCAGTCGTGAGTTAAAATTAATTATTTTTCTTTCTGCAGCATCAAGCCCGAGTGGACAAAGTGATCTTTTGCACAAAGCGACACGCTGAAGGGAATAGACTGAAGCACAGCCAAATTAGGGTAAGTAAAAGTTTTACCGACACGTTCGGCGAGATAAATATATAAAAAACACTCGATTCACCGTTTTCTTTTTATTCAGTGCTATGCTGTCAATTCGTATAACGACCTTTTGAATTTCTTTGAAGACAATCAAATCCCGACTTGTTGTGGTGGACCATACACTCAAAATCAGTTGGAATGGATAGACTTCTATAAGGTGATAATTCTCTCCATTATGCGCTTCTACTTGTCATACGAATTAGATCAATAGTCGCCAACTATAAGTCACGATGTGAAAGTCGTACAAAGTGTGTGATTTTTAATCGTGAAAAACTGTAATTGGTAGACTATATTGATTGTCTTGCACATGCACTTCTCTCTGTGTATAATATAAACTGAATTAATGAATTAAATTTTTGACAGGAATTAGAGAGGCTTTCTTATTTGTGTCAAGTTATCGGCAATCGTCTGATCACTGCTTTTGCATACATTGGTGAGGACCCACAAGAACGATCAGCTATAACAAAATTTTTAGATGATAATGACATCAAGAATTTACTTCAAGATGCCAGACAAAGTATGGATGTACTGCAACAACATTCTCGGTGGTTAAACGAAGATAGATTTGTAATGTACGAGTAAAATTTTTCTTCGAGACTTGAAAACCAAAATTAGTGTTTCCCAAATAATTTTTATTTTTAAAATATAATGTTCTTTAAAAGTATTAATCCAATTGTTATTAGCCAAGAGATAGTTTAAATGTAATTATTATTTAACGACTCTGAAAAATCAAAATTAATTTACCCTAAATTATATAGTGTTATTTTATTAGTTAACTATTTTATTCCAGACATATAACGCATAACGAGTTAAAATAATAATCATAATAAATTTTATACCACAAAAATACTTTAAAATTTATCTTATATTTGTGTTACTTAAATCCATATGCTGATATTCGAAAAAATTTGTTTTTTTAACATTTTTACAATTTGTGTAGAAGGATGATTTCTAATATGTATAAAAAGTTATGACACAATAAGTGTATATTTTGCATTTTAAAAATGACGGTTTTGATTAGACGCTATTGGAAATTAAAACATTTTTTTTTTTTCTGATAAAATTGAATTAATAGCTTTTGGAAAATAGTCTCACATATGATTTGTATAATAAGTAACATTTTTTTATTGTGTTCTTATAGTTTCCAAAAAAAATTTGACTATTACATATTAATCTTTATAATAATTTTAACTGTCATTTTAAATATTTCCTTTGAATATTATTTGATTAAAATGGAACAAATTAAGTTTATCATTTAAATAAAATAGGAGTATTATGTCACTCATTTGCAATTAATGAAAAATAATATTTAATGACATAATTCGTAATAAATAATTTTACAAAATTGTTATAAATAACATTAATTTCTCTATTTAATTTGATGACTTCAGACGTTAAAAAAGTAGTGTAAATTATTTAAAGGGATGCTGTATAGCCAATTTTGTCATTTCCTTTTTCTGATTTGTTTATAGTAAACTTTTATGTTTTAACTATTAAACACTATTTGTTAGTAATTTGATGAAATAATACTTTTTATTTTTACTTTTGATAAGAAAAAATCTTAATAACTCCTCTTGTAATTATTTTCTTGAGCTACAACTTTTACATAATATTTATAAGTTAATGTAAAATCTTATAAAAAAAATTTGTTGAGTATTCTTTTCTTAACATTATAATGCTTTAAAAATGTATTGATTTGAGCTGTTGAAAAAAATAATTTTTTGAATTAAACTATTTATTCATATTAATATTGAAAAATATATTAATTTGTGTTTACTAAGTATTATTATTTTTATATATAATAAAAATTTTATTTTAGGTCTAATTTTGAAGACATTAAAAAATCGCACAGTGAAATTGACGATGCTGCTGTTCAACTCGAAGAACTTTTATTAATTAAAAAGAATAAGTTGTTACAAGCAGCTAGGGTAAGAGCCTTAGAAGCAGAAACCAACGAGGTATAGTTATTTATTTAAAATGATTGAATCTCCCCTACAAAGGGGGATATAATAAAATACTCTATTATAAGTCTTATTAATGTTGATAACTTAAATTAAATAATTTTCACTTTTTAAATTATATATAATTTGATTTAATTTTTTTCTGTTTCAACATTTATTTTATAAATATGTTATTTTCTTTTATATCGTCATTTGTAAAGTTTTTATATTTTTTCCTTGCCTCACCATAACCACCTTTACTGTTATTTCGAGATCTGTAATATCATTAGGATTTCTTATGTCGATTTAATATAAATTTAACGAGAATCTATTCCTCAAATTGAAAATGTAGTTCAGTGTTAAAAAACTGTGCGTGTGTTTGTCTTTAGCTGATACCAACCTATATGATTATGTGAGGAAGGCAAAACACATTAAAGATTAATGCGTTATGTGTATTCATTTTTAAGACTTTCGTAGAGTTAATATTAGTGGTGGTGACTTGAGGTCAAATAATGACTTTTTGACTAACGACAAGGATGTGATGTTCGCTGGATTTGTAATTAATTTTTATTGTGTCAGGTCATCTCGTGGCTAACCAACAAAGGGGAGCATACTCTGGTTCAGCATGCAGACTTGGCCAATAGTTTACCAGCAATCCGACAGCAGGAACAAGACTTTGAAAAATTTTACTTTGTGTCTATGGTAAGTTTATTAAATTTTAGTATTGTTTAATTTTCTTTACAAAAAGCAGCGTGTTGAAAATCGCTTGTTTCATTACATTTTCAAAATATGAGCATTTGAAAGTATATTTCGATTTGACAATCATATTAGTTCAAGTTAGTTATTAGATTTATAATCTATAAAAATATGTTTTTATGAACAAATATTTATCGATGAACTCACGTTATGTCTATTAGGTAAATGTGAGTTAACAATAATTCGTAAAAGCCTTGATCTCTTCGATGTTTATTAGACATGTCTGGCTTTTTACATTTTTACAAATTACTTAATTGAAATTTTCATCTGCTTAAAAATATTTATTTAGAGTACATCAGATACTGTACATCTGAGTAGTGTAGTTATCTTATAATTTTACGTATTTCGGATGGTAATTAAATGTAGTTTTAAGAAGGTTATAGTTGATTCAAAACATTTCTTTATGCGTACTCAGTTAAATTAGACTATAATTCTTGATGAATACAGTCACTAGTTTATGTTAGACATAACTGTTACGTCTGTGCACTTAGAAGCAGCTTCAGAACTAAAGAGTTTTATGATGACCGGTACCATCTAAGACCCTAATCGAAACCCCGTAGCTCGTTTATTCTCGGAATGTTTACGATCGATTATACGACTTAATGTACATGATTTTTTTTTCTTTCTTTTTTTTCCGCGATTCCCGGAGATTTTAAGGTGTATCAACAGAGCCTGCGATTCTCTACTCCCTTGACGCTACGGGAATCCTAACCTACCTGTTTATATGCGTATGTTCTTATCGCATTCACCCTTAGACGATAAACGTGCGGCTGTTTTTAAACTATTACCGGCTGGCGCCATTCAACGAAATCTTGACAGCACCACCACCGAGAGCGAGTGGGGGCGGGTATCCTTTTTTCTTCATCTGTATGCCGGTGGCATGGCCGTGTTCGGGTTTCCTGTCTCGGGGTTGACGCGGCAGTGTGATCGACGCGTTCTATACGTACGGTGGTTCTTTCAGTGTATAAATCCGAAACGAAGGTAAGTTAAATGTTTTTTTTGTTATTTGATTTATCGTTGAAACGAAATACTCATGAATTGTTTTAGTCCTTTTCATTTCGAGTTTACTTTGAAAATTTTCCGTTATTCCATTTAATCCGTTTGTTTCTTACTTACTTTTCTTAAATCAAATCGTCTAACGTAGAAATAGATTAAATCCAGTTGTTCCCATCAATTATTTAGTTTACAAATTCGTTGTCGACAAGTAGCAAACTTATTTATTAGAAGTCATATATCCGTTAAGTTGTATGCTTTTAATAGCTCTTAGGACATTGACAAACAATTACTGATGCTAGTTTTCTATACCTTTTATTTTGAATGCTCGTAGGCAAGCTTTTGTTATTCCCATTGAAACGCTCTGCACAAGCTATAAAAAGTTTAATTCTCGATAGTAAGCGTACTGAAAATATTGCAAAAACGAAAATAACATTACTCTGCAAAGAGTTATTTAGGCAAACACTTCGACACCGGCGTACATTTTGTAACCTATATCGAATAACGTTGATTGATATTGTTCATCTATGATATGATATTTTTTTCTGGTTTCGGACAGCGATTTCAACTGTCGACGGTTATGTAGCCCTTGTTTATTGGCGAAAACAACGTTCATTGTTTGGTTGTTTTCAGTAAAATCATGGAAATTAGAAGCACGTGCGACGGTTCTAATATCACCTTTTGTGCGCGTTGTCATACAATACCAGGCGACTGGGTGGGCGGTTCATAACGCACGTCGCACTCAAGAGAGCGGAAGCGGCAATAAAGATTAGGGTAGGCCATCGATTGTGTAAAATGTGCCGTGCGCGGAGGCTGAAAATGTGTTCGAAAATGACAAACATATGCGCAAACATATAAGAGACGTGTGCTGCGTCTTACTACACATGGTACTTTATGTTTAAAAGGTATAACCTTCGGGTGTACCGTTAATTCAGACGACCACACGGTTGATTGTCGCAGTATTGCGGTGAAATAATAATGTAAAATTATTATTACTAATTTTCTTTTGTGTAGTCGGTTACAACAACGGTCATTAAAATATAATGCATGTTTTTTTAATGAAAAGAAAAATATTACCCTTCTGCTGCGTAGCTTCACTGCATACAATAGGTGCCGTCTATTTTTACATGTGCAGCAGTTAAATTTTCAGAATAAAAACATACACAACACTGGTATTTTTTACACAACAAAAAATCCTCTTGATCGACCGCATAACAAATTTGATGTCCTTCTATTGCGCGTACAATTACTACAACGATTGTACAGGTGAATAATTTCCATGCAATCACGACGACGACTATTGTATGGATACTTTTTTTTGGGCAGATGTTGTTTTGTAATTAATTTATATGTGTGTCTGGAGATGTAAGTAATAAAACATCGTTTAGTGTTTAATGTGTATTCTTTAGTCAATAATATTCTGATATATTTAACAAATTAGCGCCGCGATTCAAACTGGTTGATTTTGCGTAAGATAGTATTTACATAGCATTTATTTCCGGGTCGTTAAAAAATCGTACTCGACTAAAAATTATAATCTTCACCAGAGCTGTCGGCCTACAGACCTTATATTCACTGAATTAATTTTTGAACGTCCAAAACGCAGTGTACAATCGTTGAATTTCATTAACCTCTATGGGTTTCATTCATTCTACTTTTTAATAATTTCATTATGCGATCGTATGAAATTAGTAACGTCCAAAATAAAACAAGTTATGATTATAACGATTTTAATTCCGCAAACACAGAAATGAGTTCAATAAAAGACCAAGAAATTCTTATATGCTTGAAAAAAAAACAATTCTGATATGAATATCTCGTGCTTACAATAGTAAGTTATTGTAATCAACTTGAAATGATAACGATACTTAATGTTATTTCAAATCAATACATTAAGCAACGTCTTACCGCTAGTAAAATCAATAGTGTAACTAAATATGTACAAAGTTATCTATAACAAGCAAAAGATTTGTAACGCTATTAATTGTAGCCTTGGTAATTTTCTACTTAGACAATACTAGTCAATCTTTATATGGTCCGTCCTATTTTTACTGTACTGTCATTACAGTTCACTATGTTATGTATGTTTAAATATATACCGAATGTGACTTCGTATAATTACTGTCGGTGCATTTTTTTTTTTACCTTGTAATGCCATTTTTATGTGTCATTATAATTGTGCAAAACATCGTGTTTACATTTGTAAAAATTATGGTCACTGCGAATTACGCTTGACCAATTGGGATCTATCTCCAAGGGAATTTTCACAAATGTGTATGTGAACAAATGTTTAATTGAATTTTTTGGTCATCGTCCTACGTTTGAGTAACTGGCCACCACCTCGTTTGCATACAGTTATTCGCCTTCGCTAATATTTGTCAACGTAATTCTTCTACACATTAGCACTTAATCTTTCCTTATGTCGGCAATAACTTCTGTTAATGTGTAAGTAAATTGCTTTGAGGACGAGTGTCGGTGTCGTCCGGAACGCGTTGAACCGCTACGATTGCAATGAAAATTAGTGAAAGTGTTTACATACTATTGTAGTGACCGCGTAAAGACATGTGTAGCAGAACAATGACGGTAAATTTTATCTAGAACTGTGTGCCACCGAGTGCGTTTGCCATCGGAATTCATCGAGGTGCGACCATCATTCTTATGCAACGCCTTACAACCGCTCATCGGTATCACACACTTTACACGTTCCGTTAACACTACGGCGTGCTCGGCATTTTGGATATTCGGGTTAAATTTTTTTATATATTTTAACCGGATTATGAATCAATGGCCCCGAGACGTACCGCTCTGTCTCGTGTTGGCCCGTGCGACCAACTAAACGTAGTGTTGGCAAACGTTCTGCTGAGAGAATACGATAACCGGACGAGGTGTCGGATTGAACAGTTGTACATAATTATCAACATCGGAGACCACTTGAAAAACGACTTGAGTTTATGTCGACATTACTCCGCACCGGACGAATCCAGTCAAAAGTTTTCCATCGCGTGTCACACAGTTCTCGGCGTGTAATTCGGAAGTTACATCTCGAGTGCGCGTACGTTGCCATCTATTAGACAACGACACTGTTCATCGAATCTACACGAGTTCATGTCGTCCATGTGATGATGTGATGGACTAGTTATTAAACCTAACACTCGATATTCGTGTATTAGGCCATAAGTAATATTGTGTTGCATTATTTTTACATCGACGACATTCCTTCTATTTCCAATCTCCCCACGGAATTCTGCTGTACGATTTCCCGTGACCACCAGCTAATGCCTATGATTGATTAATTAGTAGTTGTAAAGTCTCGAGAATTGTTTTCGAAGGTAAACAATAATTACGTTACTGCCATACTTGTAAATTTATTTGTCATTTGCTCGAACGTTCGGAACCTTCCTCGTTAGCGTTGCGAGTAATTAAAAAACAATATAAATTAGCCAATTAGTTTTGATGACCTGATCGTGTTCGCTGTTTCTTTTTTTTTTCCCTCTTGTCCTTGCGCTTCCAATTTACTCTTCGCCGTCGCCCGTTGAAGTGTTTTGCCCCAACAACAGCTCGACGCACTCCATAAATTGTCTGCACGTGCTCCGTCATAGTCCTCTATTTTACGAACAATAATAAATTACTAATTATACGAAGCAGATACGCCTATTTCAGTCTCTGAACTTCTCACTCTACACTGTTCAGCTCGCCCCGAGACGTCCATTTTATCCTATTAATCACTTAGCCGTCAAACTATTACACAGTTGTACCGCTTTAAAATCAAAACCGTTGCGTTAATTCGACTAGGTAACGGTATTCGCACCAATGTCGAAAAATCCAATCGACCAATGTCAAGTGTACACTTGACTTTGAGGTAATAAATGAATTTTCCATACTCTGGTATGCATTCTTTTAGTTTTGATTAAAATTATCATTGATAGAAATATCGCGTCCTCAGTATATTCAAA